CAGGGTCTCTCCCAGACATCTGCCGTGGACAGTAGCCAAGGCTGTGGAGTGAGTGGGATAGACATGATGCAGCTGATGATGAGCTAGACACAGGAGATGGTGTGTGTGTGTGTGTGTGTTTGCATTTGTGCGTGTAGATGGAGATGGGCATGAGAGACATTGATTGCCTAGTGTAGGGTGGGGGTGGTGGCTGCAGACAGGCCAGGGCCTCAGCTGGCTGAAAAAGGCAGGGAGATAGTGTCAGTCCACTGGAACTGGAGAGAGAGAGAGAGAGAGAGAGAGAGAGAGAGAGAGAGAGAGAGAGAGAGAGAGAAGAGAGAGAAGAGAGAGAGTAGAGAGAGGTTAGAGAGAGATATACAGAAATGGAGAGATGAGATGTCATAGCTGAGTAGGTGAGAGATCTAGAAGGTTGTGGTTTTGTCTCTTCATCGAGAGACCTCGGATAGAGCGAGAGAGCCTCCTCTCGCAGAGATAGACACCACCAGACCATTCAGAAGAATGCGCCCACCAGACAGAGATAGAGATCGAGAATAGGGAGATAAGATAGAGATAGATGGAGGAGGATATCATAGAGTAGGGGAAGATATAGAGTCATTATGATCAGTTAATATCTTCCTCTCGATAGATCAGACAAGGGGCAGATCATAGATCAGGAGAAGATAGAGACAACAGACTCAGATATAAGCGAGGAAGCAGCGGATGAGAGGGGATTCAGAGAAAGGGGGGGAGAGAGAGAGAGGAGTTTCCTTCAACCTTCCTTCAACCTCTTGGAGAGCAAGACACAGAGATCAGAAAGCGAGAGAGAGAGTGAGAGAGATGCCCAGGTGCCCCCCACAAACAATGATGGGATGAAGGGAGCCTCTGACACCAGGTATTTGATATAAATACTATGAAAGAGCAAGTTACCCCGTTGATACAACCCAGTGCACATGCGACTAGATACGATGCCATTATCAGTGTCCGAGTTTGGAATACTTTTCCCAACTTTAAAATGTAAACACCTTGCGTTGCACCAGCATTATCTTGTGACAAATAGGCTAAAATATGTGTTACTATGACAACTGCTAGGCCAAATACTATAGTAAATGTTTTAGTTTTTTTGTCAATGTTTTGTATCACAACAAACAATTACATAATAGACGCCTCCAGGGCAGGCTTTTTTGGCCTACTCCACATAGAGAACGGGGGAATATGGTGATTCAGGGGGAGACACCCCACAGCTGCACAGTGCTGAGAGGCCTACAAAAATCCCCACTAAAGGCAGTCCTAAGAGGGTCCAAAGTGCACCACACGGAAATGTAAAATGCCAAACAGATGCCAAAAATAAAGAGAGAACAATCAAATCTCTGTGTCAGGAATCTCCCAGGGACACCATTTCACAGCTGTTGCTAAATTTGTCTACAACGCAGCCAAAGGAAGTAGTGTTCTCAAACTCTAGAGCAGGGTTTCCCAAACTCGGTCCTGGGGCCACATTTTGGTTTTTGCCCTAGCACTACACAGCTGATTCAAATAACCAACTCATCATCAAGCTTTGATTATTTGAATCAGCTGTGTAGTGCTAAGGTAAAAACCAAAATGTGCACCCAGGGGGTCCCCAGGACCGGGTTTGGGAAACGCTGCTCTAGAGTGCACACTCATGAGAGGGAGAAGACGTGACAAAGAGAACATTGTGGTGGCGCCACAACAGAGCCAGGGTTTACAACCCTCCCTAACCCCAACAATGTCTGTCAATCAGTGGGCAGAGTCTACACAACACCCACACAGGGAGTTCCTTCAGGTCATTCTATAAATATTAATGAAATGTCACGTCAAATCGTCCAATTCGGTTCAGAGTAGACCGTAGAAGATAGGAAGTTATAGTATTCAGGTCAATTAAGCATTGTGAATGTGGACAGAATATTGGGCTTGTTAAAGATTCAAGCTGCATGAAGGCTTTACCCATACCTTTTCTATGAGTGTGAGGTCCTACGCTGAGAAAGTAATGTCCTATAGAACGAAGAGGCCCTCTAGTGTATATTAAGTGTATTACAAGGAAAATAAGAATAAAACGAGGCAAAGCACAGTATTCACACTTCTTTGCAGGGCATATTATATCATTAAATGTGATAGAATTCCTTTCTTGCTATGTGAATCCAACATTAGAAATACACAAGTAAATGACAAAATAATGGAAACACTTGAGTAAATGAGGGTTCTGGTGAGTCTGTTGTGGTGTGAGGTGAATTTTCCTTGCATGGTTTAAGTCCATTCAACCCCTTAGAGCAGGGTTCTTCAATTCCGGTCCTGGAGGGCCAAAACACTTCTGTTTTTTATTTCTACCTGGTAGTTAATTGCACTCACCTGGTGTCCCAGGTCTGAATTAGCCCCTGATTAGAAGGAGAGGATGAAAAACAGAGGTGTTTCGGCCCTCCAGGACCGGAATTGAAGAACCCTGCCTTAGAGGGCAAGGTAAACGCCAATAAATACACAGCCATTCTGAGTGATCACCTTCAACCTATGGTGAATCATTTATATCCTGATGGGAGTGGTCTCTTCCAGGATGACGGATGACAATGCCCCCATCCAAAATTCAAAATGGCTCGAGCGGTCACTGAATGGTTTGATGACCATGAAAATTATGTAAACCATATGCCATGGCCGTCTCAGTCAACTTGAACACTTATGGGAGACTGCAGCGGCACCTGCGTTTTCCACCACCATCAACAAAACACCAAATGATGGAATTTCTCATGGAAGAATGGTGTCACATCCCTCCAATAGAGTTCCAGAAGCTTGTAGAATCTATGCAAAGTCACATTGAAGCTGTTCTGATGGCTTGTGGTGGACCAACGCCCTATTAAGACACTATGTTGGTGTTTCCTTTATTTTGACCGTTACCTATAACGTTTCATATGCCAGTCTAACGTGGTACTGAAACCCATCTATCGTGAATCATCCAGATAAGCCTGAGGAAGTATTTTTCAGGGCTGGGGCTCCCTAATAGTATTTCTGCCGAGTTATGTTTGTAATGATTTTGCTACTCTCTACAGTAGACATACTGTATCTGCAATGGGTTGTAATTTTTGACACCCTTGATAAAGATGAGCAAAACATTATACAAAAAAGATTGGGGTCAGAATTATTGGCACTCCTGTTTTCAATACTCTAGCACTCTCCCCTCCACCAAACCCACCACTGGTGTGCATGGCCAAAGAGCTCTGTTTTCATGTCATCTTTGACCACGCACATCAGTGGTAGGTTTGGCGATGAAAAACAGAAGCATATGCAGAAAAGTACCTCATACCTACAGTAAAATACAGTGGTGGATCGTTGATGTTATGGGGCTATTTTGCTTCCACTGGTCCTGGGGCCCTTGTTAAGGTCAACGGCATTGTGAACTTTGCCAGGTACCATTTTAGACAAAAACCTGGTTGCCTCTGCCAGGAGGCTGACACTTGGCTGCAAGTTTATCTTACAGCAAGGCAATAACCCCTAACACTAATGAAAAATGTAATATGTTAAAAAAATACAATACAAAAATAAATAATGAGTCAGACGTGGGTTTCGGACATGTGAAGTTTCACATGTAAATCCCTCATACATTCTTTTACCCCCATGTTACTTTTTTCACACCTTTATTTTTCACATGATTATTTTCACCACTTCCAGCTACACGGTCCCTGGCTGGGACCCACCCTGCTTAGCTTCAGAGGCAAACCAGCAGTGGGATGCAGGGTGCCATCTTGCTGGAATGAATGTGCCAAAATTTGCAAATGGGGAAAAGGCAGCGAAGCAAAGGCCAGGGTAGCATAACCAAAGATAGGGAAAATTGCAGGAAAGAGGGAGGAGTTTTATTTAATTGCGTTATCATTAAAAAATTTTTGCATCCATTTACAATTAATTTGCTCTCACATTTAAAATTATATCATTGCAATATTTAGTTTTGCTAAAAAAAAACGTTAATGTGATTCCACAGGTGAAAGTGAGATTTTCACAAGTGAAAGTTTTTCACATATGAAACTGCAAATTCGTTTTTCACATGTGAACTTGCACATCTGGAGGAAACCTGGCACCATCCCTACGGTGAAGCATTGTGGTGGCAGCATCATGCTGTGGGAATGTTTTTCAGCGGCAGGGACTGGGAGACTAGTCAGGATCGAGGCAAAGATGAACGGAGCAAAGTACAGAGAGATCCTTGATGAAAACCTGCTCCAGAGCACCTTCCAACAGGACAATGACCCTAAGCACACAGCCAAGACAACGCAGGAGTGGCTTCGGGACAAGTCTCTGCATGTCCTTGAGTGGCCCAGCCAGAGCCCGGACTTGAACCCGATCGAACATCTCTGGAGAGACCTGAAAATAGCTGTGCAGCAACGCTCCTTATCCAACCTGACAGAGCTTGAGAGGATCTGCAGAGAATAATGGGAGAAACTCCCCAAATACAGGTGTGCCAAGCTTGTAGCGTCATACCCAAGAAGACTTGAGGCTGTAATCGCTGCCAAAGGTGCTTTAACAAAGTACTGAGTAAAGGGTCTGAATACTTATGTAAATAGGATATTTCCTTTTGTAATTTTTTATAAATTTGCTAAAATGTATAAAAGCCAGTTTTTGCTTTGTCATTATGGGTAATGTGTGTAGATTGATGAGGGGGAAAAAACTATTTATTCAATTTTAGAATAAGGCTGTAACCTAACAAAATGTGGAAAAAGTAAAGGGGTCTGAATACTTTCCGAAGGCACTGTATATTTGTTAGAAAGAATACTACATTTCCCTTGACTGAGTGATGCTGAAAGTTAAAAATGGCTCAACTTAGCCCACTCTCCCCTAGTCACTCAAAATGTTCATGTGACGTACAGTATATGCGACAGTAGGCCTTATGAAATGCAAAACATACATTTAATACTGTTAGAAATATGTTTTTGGGGGTTTCCTGGAGTCGTCCTAATCACTGCTTAACTGGGCCTGGTTATCTAAGGGTTAAACCAGAAATTCTCTCTTTCTGAACTGATGAGTTTAAACTCATGAGTTTAATCACTACTGAAGACTATGTGGATGCTTATGTTGGTGAAGTTGCCACCCTGTCCTGTCACATCTCCCGTAAGACCAGTGCTATTGCCATGACGATCAGGTGGTTTAAGATGGCAGAGTGTATTTACCTGTATAAGAATGACCAGGTGACAGAGGGGTGAGTGGCTATGAGGGCAGAGTGAGTCTGATCACCCAAGAGCTGAAGAGGCGCAAAGCGTCTCTGAGGGTGAGAGATATCAGGGAGTTAGATCATGGATTCTACATTTAACAAAAATATCGACCACAAGTTCTCAATGGGATTAAGGTCTGGGGAGTTTCCTGGCCATGGACCCAAAATGTCGATGTTTTGTTCCCTGAGCCACTTAGTTATCACTTTTGCCTTATGGCAAGGTGCTCCATCATGCTGGAAAAGGCATTGTTCGTGTTGGGAGAAGTTGCTCTTGGAGGATGTGTTGGTACCATTCTTTATTCATGGTTGTGTTCTTAGGCAAAATTGTGAGTGAGCCCACTCCCTTAGCTGAGAAGCAACCCCACACATGAATGGTCTCAGGATGCTTTACTGTTGGCATGACACAGGACTAATGGTAGCGCTCACCTTGTCTTCTCCGGAAAAGGTGCTTTCCAGATGCCCCAAACAATCGTAAAGGGGATTCATCAGAGACAATGACTTTACCCCAGTCCTCAGCAGTCCAATCCCTGTACCTTTCGCAGAATATCAGTCTGTCCCTGATGTTTTTCCTGGAGAGAAGTGGCTTCTTTGCTGCCCTTCTTGACACCAGGCCATCCCCCAAAAGTCTTCACCTCACAGTGTGTGCAAATGCACTCACACCTGCCTGCTGCCATTCCCGAGCAAGCTCTGCACTGGTGGTGCCCCGATCCCGCAGCTGAATCAACTTTAGGAGACGGTCCTGGCGCTTGCTGGACTTTCTTGGGTGCCCTGACGCCTTCTTCACAACAATTGAACCACTCTCCTTTAAGTTCTTGATGATCCGATAGATGGTTGAATTAGGTGCAATCTTACTAGCAGTAATATCCTTGCCTGTGAAGCCCTTTTTGTGCAAAGCAATGATCTCCAGCCTTGTCCTCGTCAACACTCTCACCTGTGTTAACGAGAGAATCACTGACATGATGGCAGCTGGTCCTTTTGTGGCAGGGCTGAAATGCAGTGGAAATGTTTTTTTGGGATTAAGTTCATTTTCATGGCAAAGAGGGACTTTGCAATTAATTGCAATTCATCTGATCACTCTTCATGACATTCTGGAGTATATGCAAATTGCCATCATCAAAACTGAGGCAGCAGACTTTGTGAAAATGTGTATTTGTGTCATTCTCAAAACTTTTGACCACGACTGTACAGTGTACCAGTAAGTTGTCTAAATCGGTTTCGTAACAAATGGGGGTTCGTCTGGGATAAATATAACACGTTAGCATTTGTGGTTGTAAACCAGTGTGGTTCGGTATTGTGGCTGTGCATTTGTTGAGAAAGTTTGTAGCAGGTGTTTGTGTCGAGCTAGGTGAGGTTTTCAGCAGCGCTAGTGTGAGACTGAAGTTGCTGGCTAGCAAGACAGCTGGTGGTTTTGGTCAACAGAAATATTTGGGGTGACGGCCCGAGGGTAGTCAATTGTTCACAGTTGGTAGTCGTTAGCTACTGTAGAGACGATTAGGTGTTTTGCTCATGGGCTGGAACATTTTGTGTTAACTGTTTTGGCTATGGCAGCTTTTGTTGGCACTGGTTTGCTGAATTAGATTTTCCAGTTTGGCATGTGCGTTTGTGTTGGCGCTAGGCAGTGTTGGGGAGTAGTGAACTACATGTCACAGATTATCCATTATATTGACCAGATACTCAAGTGGCTGCTTTAACAATTAAAATAAATGTATTAAAAATGGAAGGCAGTCAGGAGGCAAGATCAGGTGGGACCATTCTAGCCAATGAGAGGGCAGATACGTGTGTGAACAGTGCCCTACTTATTTCAGTAGAATCGTAACAACCTAAGAATTACGAAACGTTTATTCGATCAAATAAGCCACACATAGCAAATAAGCCATACACATTTTTGTTAACCAAATTCGACACTCATTGACCGCCATTCAAAAACGCCTTACTTGGTGTGCAAAAAAAATTAAAACACTCCACCTGCCAGAGAAGACAGATTTTGGGGACAGTTATCCCCCTCGCGTCGCCTCTTCGATGGAGTTCAACTAATTTAACAGTAGCTTGGTGGTAGCTGAACTGAATTCAAATCTTGGTAGTGTTTTCAGTAGTTAAAAAGGTCCAATGCAGCCGTTTTTCATCTCAATATCAAATCATATCTGGGTAACAATTAAGTAACTTACTCTGATTGTTTTCAATTAAAATGGTCAAAAATAAACAAAACAGCTTCTTAGCAAAGAGCAATTTCTCTTTCTTATTGGTCTATTAACTAATTTACTGCCTGGCGATGTCACCAGGCAGGCCAAAACTCCATCCCACCAAAACAGGCAGAAATTTCATTCGGCCTTTTCAAACAGCTCTTACACTAAAAAGGGCAATATAATTTTCACAATTTCACATTATTATTCCAAACTCATAGGTGTGGAAATATATATATATATATATATATACATACACACACACACACACACATATACACAGCTCTGGAAAAAAATAAGAGACCACTGCAAAATTATCAGTTTCTCTGGTTTTACTATTTATAGGTATGTGTTTGGGTAAAAATAACATTTTTGTTTTATTATATAAACTACTGACAACATTTCTCCCAAATTACAAATACAAATATTGTCATTTAGAGCATTTATTTGCAGAAAATGACAACTGGCCAAAATAACAAAAAAAGATGCAGTGTTGTCAGACCTTGAATAATGCAAAGAAAATAAGTTCATGTTCATTTTTAAACAACACAATACTAATGTTTTAACTTAGGAAGAGTTCAGGAATCAATATTTGGTGGAATAACCCTGATTTTCAATCACAGCTTTCATGCGTCTTGGCACCAGTCTTTCACATTGATGTTGGGTGACTTTATGCCACTCCTGGCGCAAAAATTCAAGCAGCTCAGCTTTGTTTGATGGCTTGTGACCATCCATCTCCTTCTTGATCACATTTCATAAGTTTTCAATGGGGTTCAGGTCTGGAGATTGGGCTGGCCATGACAGGGTCTTGATCTGGTGGTCCTCCATCCACACCTTGATTGACCTGGCTGTGTGGCATGGCGCATTGTCCTGCTGGAAAAACCAATCCTCAGAGTTGGGGAACAATGTCAGAACAAAAGGAAGCAAGTTTTCTTCCAGGACAACCTTGTACGTGGCTTGATTCATGCGTCCTTCACAAAGACAAATCTGCCCGATTCCAGCCTTGCTGAAGCACCCCCAGATCATCACCGATCCTCCACCAAATTTCACAGTGGGTGCGAGACACTGTGGCTTGTAGGCCTCTCCAGGTCTCCGTCTAACCATTAGACGACCAGGGTTCGGACAAAGCTTGAAAATTGGACTCATCAGAGAAGATGACCTTACTCCAGTCCTCTACGGTCCAATCCTTATGGTCTTTTGCAAACCTTAGCCTGACTCTTCTTTGCTTCTCATTGATGAAGGGCTTTTTTCTAGCTTTGCACTACTTACATTTTACATTTACATTTTAGTCATTTAGCAGACGCTCTTATCCAGAGCGACTTACAGGAGCAATTAAGGTTAATTGCCTTGCTCAAGGGCACATTTACGTCATTTAGCAGACGCTCTTATCCAGAGCGACTACAAATTGGTGCATTCACCCTATAGCCAGTGGGATAACCACTTTACAATTATATATATATATTTTTCTTATTTTTTTTTGGGGGGGGGGGGGTAGAAGGATTACTTTATCCTATCCCAGGTGTTCCTTAAAGAGGTGGGGTTTCAAATGTCTCCGGAAGGTGGTGAGTGACTCCGCTGTCCTGGCGTCGTGAGGGAGCTTGTTCCACCATTGGGGTGCCAGAGCAGCGAACAGTTTTGACTGGGCTGAGCGGGAACTATGCTTCCGCAGAGGAAGGGGAGCCAGCAGGCCAGAGGTGGATGAACGCAATGCCCTCGTTTGGGTGTAGGGACTGATCAGAGCCTGAAGGTACGGAGGTGCCGTTCCCCTCACTGCTCCATAGGCAAGCACAATGGTCTTGTAACGGATGCGAGCTTCAACTGGAAGCCAGTGGAGTGTGCGGAGGAGGGGGGTGACGTGAGAGAACTTGGGAAGGTTGAACACCAGACGGGCTGCGGCATTCTGGATGAGTTGTAGGGGTTTAATGGCACAGGCAGGGAGCCCAGCCAACAGCGAGTTGCAGTAATCCAGACGGGAGATGACAAGTGCCTGGATTAGGACCTGTGCCACTTCCTGTGTAAGGCAGGGTTGTACTCTCCGAATGTTGTAGAGCATGAACCTGCAGGATCGGGTCACCGCCTTGATGTTAGCGGAGAACGACAGGGTGTTGTCCAGGGTCACGCCAAGGCTCTTCACACTCTGGCAGGAGGAAACAACGGAGTTGTCAACCGTGATGGCGAGATCATGGAACGGGCAGTCCTTCCCCGGGAGGAAGAGCAGCTCCGTCTTGCCAGGGTTCAGCTTGAGGTGGTGATCCGTCATCCATACTGATATGTCGGCCAGACATGCAGAGATGCGATTCGCCACCTGGTTATCAGAAGGGGGAAAGGAGAAGATTAGTTGTGTATCGTCAGCGTAGCAATGATAGGAGAGGCCATGTGAGGATATGACAGAGCCAAGTGACTTGGTGTATAGGGAGAAAAGGAGAGGGCCTAGAACTGAGCCCTGGGGGACACCAGTGGTGAGAGCACGTGGTGCGGAGACAGCTTCTCGCCACGCCACTTGGTAGGAGCGACCGGTCAGGTAGGACGCAATCCAGGAGTGAGCCGCGCCGGAGATGCCCAGCTCGGAGAGGGTGGAGAGGAGGATCTGATGGTTCACTGTATCAAAGGCAGCAGACAGGTCTAGAAGGACAAGAGCAGAGGAGAGAGAGTTAGCTTTAGCAGTGCGGAGAGCCTCCGGGATTTAGAGTGGTAGAAAGTGGCCTTAGCAGCAGAAACAGATGAAGAAAATGTAGAGAGGAGGGAGTGAAAAGATGCCAGGTCGGCAGGGAGTTTAGTTTTCTTCCATTTCCGCTCAGCTGCCCGGAGCTCTGTTCTGTGAGCTCGCAATGAGTCATCAAGCCACGGAGCTGGAGGGGAGGACCGAGCCGGCCGGGAGGATAGGGGACACAGGGAGTCAAAGGATGCAGAAAGGGATGAGAGGAGGGTTGAGGAGGCAGAATCAGGAGATTGGAGGGAGAAGGATTGAGCAGAGGGAAGAGATGATAGGATGGAAGAGGAGAGAGTAGTGGGAGAGAGAGAGCGAAGGTTGCGGCGGCGCGTTACCATCTGTGTAGGGGCAGAGTGAGTAGTGTTGGAGGAGAGCGAGAGAGAAAAGGATACAAAGTAGTGGTCGGAGACATGGAGGGGAGTTGCAGTGAGATTAGTAGAAGAGCAACATCTAGTAAAGATGAAGTCAAGCGTATTGCCTGCCTTGTGAGTGGGGGGGATGGTGAGAGGGTGAGGTCAAAAGAGGAGAGGAGTGGAAAGAAGGAGGCAGAGAGAAATGAGTCAAATGTAGACGTAGGGAGGTTGAAATCCCCCAAAACTGTGAAGGGTGAGCCATCCTCAGGAAAGGAACTTATCAAGGCGTCAAGCTCATTGATGAACTCTCCAAGGGAACCTGGAGGGCGATAGATGACAAGGATATTAAGCTTAAATGGGCTAGTGACTGTGACAGCGTGGAATTCAAATGAGGAGATAGACAGATGGGTTAGGGGAAAAATTGAGAATGACCACTTGGGAGAGATGAGGATTCCTGTGCCACCACCCCTCTGACCAGATGCTCTCGGGGTATGCGAGAACACATGGTCAGACGAGGAGAGAGCAGTAGGAGTAGCAGTGTTTTCAGTGGTAATCCATGTTTCCGTCAGCGCCAGGAAGTCGAGGGACTGGAGGGTAGCATAGGCTGGGATGAAGTCAGCCTTGTTGGCGGCAGAACGGCAGTTCCAGAGGCTGCCTGAGACCTGGAACTCCAGGTGTGTGGTGCGTGCAGGGACCACCAGGTTAGAGAGGCAGCAGCCACGCGGTGTGAGGCGTTTGTGTAGCCTGTGCGGAGAGGAGAGAACAGGGATAGGCAGAGGCATAGTTGACAGGCTGCAGCAGATGGCTACAATAATGCAGAGGAGATCGGAATGAAATGAACTAAACATCTGGGAAAGGAGAGAGCAGGCCTCCCTCACCAAAAAAAATAAAAAATATATATATATATATATAACTCTCCCAACTTCCACCTCAGAAACTATAATTGTTTCACTGAACCACCCGAGTAAAACTCTCCCAACTTCCACTTTAGAAATTAGAATTGTTGTAAACTACAGCAGACTGTTATCAGTAGCTGTAATTAAGTACAGCAGCTACCAACCACCTAACGTTAATGCCTCGGATGAGGTTAGAAAAACAGCTGAATGGTAGCAGCTAGCTGGCTCAATCACAGGTACTCTTAAGCATGAAATAACATTGGAAACAATTAACCACAGTTGCAAAAAGTTACCAGTAGCTATCCGCTAGCTAGCTAGCTAGCTTTGTTGGTCCAAGTAGTGGGTAAGCTAGCCTCGTGCTTCGCCGGGGTCTGCCGAATACAATACTTACCTACAATAATTACCTACAATAACCTTCAATAACTACCTGAGTAAGCTACCTATAATACCAAACTACAATACCTACCTACAATCTAAATACATGGTTTAAGCTTAACTCAACACCATATAAGAAGCCAAGCTTACCTTTCATAACGCAGCAATGATTAAACGTTGGGTAGCTAGCACAAAGATATTGTATTTAGCTACCACAGTACAGCCAGCTGGTAGTGTTGGCTGGCTAGCAATGGCTGCTGTGTTGACTTTATTTGAAAAACGGCGTCGCTGCGAACGAATGTAGCTGGCTAAAAGGATATTGTTTTTAGTTGCTACCGTTGCTAATAGCTACTCGCCAGCTAATCCAGGAGGTGAGTTAGCTAGCTAGCTTCGTGCTACACCCGGCACCGCCGAATACAAAAGTAACCTACAATAACTACACAACAGCTACCCACAACAGCCCACGATGCCTACCTATACTACTTAATAATATACAGCCCACGATGCCTACCTATAATACCTAACTACAATCTAAATACATAGTTTAAGCCTTACTCGACAAAGCCCAAGCTATGTATAAAGCCAAACTGGCAGACTGCAATCAGTAGCCGTAATTAAGTACAGCAGCTACCAACCACCTAACGTTAATGATAATGAGGTTAGAAAAACAGCTGATTGGTGACGGCTAGCTGGCTCAATCACAGGTACTCTTAAGCGTGAAATAACATTGGAAACAATTAACCACTGTTGCTAAAAGTTACCAGTAGCTACCCGCTAGCTAGCTAGCTAGCTTTGTTGGTCCAAGTAGTGGGTAAGCTAGCCTCGTGCTTCGCCGGGGTCCGCCGAATACAGTCCTTACCTACAATAATTACCTACAATAACCTACAATAACTACCTGAGTAAACTACCTATAATACCTAACTACAATACCTACCTACAATCTAAATACATGGTTTAAGCTTTACTCAACACCATATAAGAAGCCAAGCTTACCTCCTGCTAGAGAAAACACCTCTCCCGACCACCGTACATGCTCTCCCGACCACCGTACATGCTTCAGCCCTACTCCTAGGAGCCTGTTTCGAACCGTCCTCGCCATGCACTTCACCCGAGCTGCCGTTTGCCATTCTTTTTGTAGGTCACTTGATGTCATCCTACGGTTGTTGAGTGACATTCGAATTAGTTGGCGGTCATCCCGGTCAGTAGAGTCATTTTCGCCCTCTGCCGGTCTGTAGCTTTGTTGTCCCCAATGTCTGCTGCTTGACCTTGTTCTTATGAACTGCTGTCTTTGAAATTTTAAGGATGGAAGCAACCTGACACTCATTGTATCCCTCTGCCAGTAAAGCCAGAATTGAACCCTTTTTTTCCTCACTCAAAACTTTCCTTTTCAACTCTTTTGGCATGGTCAATAGTTATTTTTTGATTAATATTACTTTTGAGGTACTATTAGCACTGTTTTTGCCATCCAGCTGGTCCTATTGCAAGAGGATAGTGATGACCACAGCAGTGGTTTTTATACTTTTCCTCGTTAAATAAGATTTGGTTCAGGTGATCACCTAATCAGTAGATTTGGTTCAGATGATCACCTAATCAGTACCTAATTCAGTAGAATTAACTTATTCCAGTGTTAAGTAAATTTGTAGCTTGGTAAACTATTTTCAGAGTAGCTTCCCCAACACTGGCGCTAGGCTAGTGGCTAACTGTTGCTATGGTTTGTAGCTTTTGTGCATGGCATGCTGGTTTTTGCCTGGTTATCTCTGGGGCTTGGAGGGCGTGCATGTATTGGTTGGTTAGTGGTAAGCTAGTGGCTAACTGACTTTTGTCAGTTGATTTATTGATTTCGTTCGGCATACTGATTCGGTCTATGGGGGCATTTGAGACAGCAGTGTTTTGTGCAGAGGTAGAGAATAGTTGTGGTTTTCTCAAGCTAACGAGGGATCAGGTATTTCAGGTGACAAATGATGGAAGTTGAAATAGCAAAGGAATCGAGCAGATAAGATGTTGCAATGCTGTTATGGGAAAAGTGGAGTGAGTTCATGCCACCGGTTCTGGTGGATAGCAGTCAGGAGGAAGAAGACTTGTTGGAAATGGCGAAGCTAGAACAGGAAATATAACTATTGAAAAAGCAGATGAAGGAAGGGAAGCATAGAGGGGAGAAACTTGGTATTGCCCCTCAGACAGTCTTGTCACTACCAGTTTCCCCCAAGTGATCAAGTTTGTGTAGGCCTAACCACATTGAAAAGTCAGGTGTGTCAGGGGGCGGAGTCTCTTAAGGAGAGTTTTGAGGTTTCCCCAGTTTGTTTAGTTACTCATGTTCAGGAGAGTGCTGATGGAAAACCAGATAGGGAGGAGGATGTTTTGTGTGGGGACTTGGAGGAAATATTCTTGGATGAAATGGTTCTCCCTAATGAGTAAGAGCCAAGACCTTCTGGGCAGAGATATGTGATATAGTGTACCCTCTGCAGGCTGAGGATGAGGTTGATTCATGTGTCAATTTAGGGGAGACTTTCTTTGTTGGGTTAGGTGACACTGAGGAACTAGGTTCTCTTGGTGGTTTGAGAAAGGATTTGGTTCCCCCAAGTGATCTGTTGCGTTCAGAAGATGTCAGTGATTATTTTGGTCCTTTAGCTGACACGTTCTTTACCAGAGTAGGGGAGGTTGTGGTTCCTCCACAGCCTGACAATGAGGTGTTTTGGTTGCCAGGTGCTGATTTAGCTGACATTTCTCATTGAGCTGTGGGAGGGAGGAGATTCTTCCCAATCATGTTGTGAGATTAGTGAGGATCCACTGGAAGAATTGGTCTTGGTTTTTCGGGGTGACGCGGCTGTATCTTGCGATGAGAATCAGGAGCTTGAAGAAGAGAGGTTGGGGGGAAAGCCAGATCCACTGGAGTTGTCGCTACCTGTTGTTGAGGAGCGGTCCACAGTTCGTGCAGCATGTAGTGTGTATCCTGTTAAAGTGGAACTGACAGTGTTTTAACTACTTTGCAGATATGAAACAAACAGACAATCATAATTTCAGTAAAAAATATCAAATTCCTAGTTTATGCTGAAAAACCAACTTTATAAGAACTTTTAAAAATAGGTTATATTTGACTCAAAAGTCCATGACGTACAGTAAGGCATTGTTGGCAGAATAGATAGATGCAGTTCAATGCATGATTAATATAATTCACCAATATATTTCTTGGTAGTCCAAAAAATATTGCTATAAGGTTTTAAATCACAGCTGGCCTGGTACATTGTTTGCTGCCTCCACCCATTCGGGATGCACTGTTCCAGTTTCAATTACTCAATATTTTGAACTAAAATGGACGACTGTAACTAAGGCTGGGAATGTCAATACAATCAAACTAGCAAGGGCAAAGATCACAAGTCATTCATAATGTGACTAATAGGCTAGTACAGGTATCAAACACAAAGCCCTTGGACTAAATAGGACAAACAAGCTAATATAAATGAGTAAACAGTTGCGTTATCTACTTTATAAAATTACAGCCTGATGTTCTTGCATCTGTGAATTCAACTTCAATTGCGCTGCTTTCATTTGTCCCATTTACAGCGCACAGCGGAGGGAAAGTGTACAGACATGCCACAGTCCTAGCTAGGCTACTAAAATGTTGCAGTCTGGATTTGATTTTTAAAGCTTGACAATGAATAATCAAAAAACTAAACTTGCAGCAAAACACCATGCAAAGGAGAAACATGTAGGCCTATTACAGTAACATTTGAGCAGTAGCCTAGGCTGGCTACTCAACTACAATACATTTTGAGTGCACCATATTTTCAATACAGCACGTGCACTGATTGAGTTTGACACCCCTGGGCTAGCGTATCTATTTATGTAACTACCTATTTATTTAGCAAGTTAAAAACAAGGAGTCTAACGTTAGCTAGCTAGTTAGCTGCTGGGAGGATGTCATTGGAGGAGTGGGTGAGTGACCGACTTTCCCCTCATATTGTTTTTCAGTGGCTACAGCTAGAGATGCAGGTGTCATTTGGTTAACTAGCGAGAAATATGAATTGCTTTGCTAGCTAGCTAGCTAGCTAGCTATGCTGAACTTGAATGACTGTTATCCACAGTTAGCATATCTCTTAGTCGTCAATCAAATCTATTTGGCAGGCAAGTTCCCATTCAGTTGTCAAAGCGTAGGTTGGGACAAGCTTGCATTGGCAGGCAAGCTGCAGAAGAAGGACAAACAGGCTACTATTCCCCATTGTTTCTCAGTGCAATTTTGACGCCTAGCTGAAAAAGTTTGAGGGGGTTTATCTAGTGTTCCTTCGTTAGATTTTAGCTCATCTCGCTCTGGCTAGCATTAGTTGTTGATCTTGTTGTTGATGTGCATAAGCAACTGAGGGAGCGATAGCCTACCTTTTCATGGTTGTTTGATCAATCGAACTGTGATGATCCCAAAAGTAAGAAGATTCACGTGGTATTTACATATTGCAGAAATCCATTCAGGTGTATTTTGTGGCTTTTTGGGAATGCGTTCTAATGATCTAAAGTTGCGTTGTTGCTACTGCCTGTAAACACAGTCCAGTTCATAGAGAATGATGGCAGGCCCGTGTGGCAAATTGCTTATTTGCATATAGGCCTACTGTAGCTCTGATTGGCTATGGTGCACCGGTCTGTATAGACACCGGTCCTGGATAAAGACAAATGTTATAAGGTTTTATTTTTTGCAGCGTCTATTAATTGTCCAAACACACTGCCGTTTTCAGGCTTATATTGCTATAGAATTTTCAAAAATGCCTTAGTATACGTAATTTCCGAACATTCTATGAATTTATGAAATTGTGAAAATGATCATATCCAAGTGCTCGGTTGTCAGAAAATGTTAAAACATTTGTCATATTCCTCCTGGGGGTATATGTATAAACTACCGGTCAAAAGTTTTAGAACACCTACTCATTCCAGGGTTTTTCTTTATTTTTACTATTTTCTACATTCTAGAATAATAGTGAAGACATCAAAACTATGAAAGAACACATATGGAATCATGTAGTAACCAAAAAAGTGTTAAACAAATCAAATGTTATATTTGAGATTTTTCAAATAGTCACCCTTTGGCTTGATGACAGCTTTGCACACTCTGATACATTTACATTTACATTTTAGTCATTTAGCAGACGCTCTTATCCAGAGCGACTTACAGTTAGCGCATACATTATTTTATCGAACCCACAACCCTGGCGTTGCAAACGCCATGCTCTACCAACTGAGCTACATCCCCCACAAAGCGCAAACCAGATGGGATGGCGTATCGCTGCAGAATGCTGTGGTAGAATGCTGTGGTAACCATGCTGGTTAAGTGTGCCTTGAATTCTAAATAAATCACTGACAGTATCACCAGCAAAGCACCATCACACCTCCTCCTCCATGCTCGACGGTGAGAACCACACATGCAGAGATAATCCGTTCACCTACTCTGCGTCTCAAAAAGACACGGCGGTTGGAACCAAAAATCTCACTCAGATTGACTCATCAGACCAAAAGGACAGATTTCCACCGGTCTAATGTCCATTGCTCGTGTTTCTTGGCCCAAGCATGTCTCTTCTTATTATTGGTGTCCTTTAGTAGTGGTTTATTTGCAGCGATTCAACCAGGATGGCCTGATTCACACAGTCTCCTCTGAACAGTTGATGTTGATATGTGTCTGTTACTTGAACTCTGTGAAGCATTTATTTGGGCTGCAATTTCTGAGGCTGGTAACTCTAATGAACTTATCCTTTGCAGCAGAGGTAACTCTGGGTCTTCCTTTCCTGTGGTGGTCCTCATGAGAGCCAGTTTCATCATAGCGCTTAATGGTTTTTGCGACTGCACTTGAGGAAACTTTCAAAGTTCTTGAAGTTTTCTGGATTGAATTACCTTCATGTCTTAAAAGTAATGATGGACTGTCGTTTCTCTTTGCTTATTTGAGCTGTTCTTGCCATAATATGGACTTGGTCTTTTACCAAATAGGACTATCTTCTGTATACCCCCCCCCCCCCCTACCTTGTCACAACACAACTGATTGGCTCAAACGCATTAAGAAGGAAAGAAATTCCACAAATTAACTTTTAACAAGGCACACCTATTAATTGAAATGTATTCCAGGTGACTACCTCATGAAGCTGGTTGAGAGAATGCCAAGAGTGTGCAAAGCTGTCATCAAGGCAAAGGGTGGCTACTTTGAAGAATCTCAAATATAAAATATATTTTGATTTGTTTAACACTTTTTTGGTTACTACATGTGTTATTTCATAGTTTATGTCTTCACTATTATTCTACAATGTAGAAAATAGTAAAAAATTAAGAACAACCCTGGAATGAGGAGGTGTGTCCAAACTTTTGACTGGTACTGTATATGAACAGATTTTAATAAGATTTAATGTTGCTAAAACGCTGTCAGTTCCACTTTAAGTTGGAGGGAGGTGAGGAGAACACGGTTAGTGTTTCCCCATTGATACTGCTCTTGAGGAATACTAATGCTCTGGAGAGGGTGGAGAAGGTAGAGATGGTTCTCAAAGTCAGAGTGAGGCGGCGACGGCTAACAGTTCCCCTCCAGTGAGTGCTCAGGGCTGGAGAACGAGGCATTGGGGAATGTGGATGGAGTTCCTGGTGAGTTTTCTGAAGTTGGTTGATGTTCACTTGTCCCTGGTGGTGGTTGCTCCAAGTCTCATTGTTGCCTACATAATCGAGCTTGTTGCTTGTGACCCTGGGCCTAGTGAAGGAAGTTGGTCTCAGTCTAGAACCAGAGGAGTCACAGGTTGTCCTGGGGTTTGAGCTCCTCAAAGACTTTTGGCAGGAGCACCGGAGTGTAGAGCCGTCAGTTATGGTTTTGGTTGACTGGCTTCTTGTCGAGAATGGCTTTATCCCAGAGGTGAGGGTTTCTGGAGCCAAGTTTCATAGTTGTGCAGTTCTAGTGTTTATAGTGTACATATTGGTCTCTTCAGTTAAGGAAGTTATGGAAATAAGTCTGAATTATTTGTGCAATCCCGGTCACGAAAAAAATTATAATAATACAATCTAGACATTATTTTCCCATGCTTCTAACACTATAGGAAACTCATCCCAATCACAAAATACAACCAGCATGATTTTGTGAATTTATTTTGTAACCGTGAGCAACTACACTTGTAGTGTTCTCATTACATGTAATCTCTCATACTGATACATTTATAAAATTTAAGAAATATAATCTACATTGAACACAAAATAAAAATCTAGGTGTGATAATTCACTGGTCTGTTTAGTATTGTAAATTTGTAATATGGTGGACACGTGCTTGCAAGGAAGATCACAAAACTGATGCTCAAATATGATAACATGACTGTGCTTAAATAATAAAACATTCTTAAAAGCCCAGGTAATTGCAAATACCATAATGCTGATAACACACAAGGGTCATTCCACAAACTGAGTGCCTTTTGATATTTTAAGTTGAGATTGGTCACCAATATTGAATTTTAAAAGCCTGTTATATTAAATGAAGTGCCCTTTAACAGACCACATGGAGAACTCAATCACTGATTTTAAATATAAATAAAGATGTGCTAAAGTGGCTAAATTCTGCATTTTGACATGTGCCTCCGTGCACCCTCTGACTTCTAGGAAAATGTTAACCCACTTAACCCTGACATTTCTCCAAGTTTTCACCATCATTGTAAATCCCTAGTTATTTTGTTGCTTTGACAAAGCCATTTGTGAAGATGATCATTTATTTAATGTGATTAGTGATTAATTTATGTCTGTCCCTCATTTTAAGGTCAACCTTGTTACGTGAACTGAACTCCTTTTAATATGGTGAAACTATAAATGTTATAATATTTTTTTCAAAAGAAACATCTAACAATCAAATCATAGTGTAAAAGCAGGTGAGCTGGTTTCTTCTCTTGTGGTGGAAAACTGAGCGGGTCAGGCATAACACATCAACTCTGTTCCATAGAGAAAACATTTCTGTCTAACAATTAAACATGTTTTTGTGAAGCTTGCATTCAATTGCCACTTCCTGTTGCACACAAACTTCCATTCCCCCGTCACAAGGGGATTCATGGCCGATTTAAGATTAAATCGTCAACCCTGTGACTTTATTTGGCACTTACACACTTAGACAAATGTGTTTTTTTATGAAGTTGAACGTGCTCTTATGACAATGTTAAAATTAGATGAAATCAAGTTTTTTTAAAACCAAGTTACACTTCTCAAAAGGCACCGAATTGGTGGAACAACCCACAAACACACCAGTGACTTTGGGTTTGTTTGGTTGATGGGAGAAAACCGTAGATACTGTAAATTGAGCAAATCAAATAAATGGATAAAACACAAACAGCTGGAATGTGGTTAATGTCAAAGTAATGTTATAAATATCAACATCTGATATCTGCTATAACTGATAAGTAGGAAAGTGCATAATCATAGCAAAAGGTAATCAAGCCCATTCCCCCCCCCCCATTTCAGAGTGTGTCGGAGAAGGTGAGTGTATTACCAACGCAGCTATTAAAAGATAGTAAAAGCTAAAAACAGGGGATATCGGTTCGTTTTGTACTGGTCGTACCACTCATTCCTCTTCTTCCTCCTCCTCCTCCTCCTCCTCCTCCTCCTCCTCCTCCCCCGCCATCACCTCCACCAGGAGTTCAGCTGTGCACGTGGCCTCACCCAGACTGTTGACAGCCTTGACGGTGTATTTGGCATCATCATCGCCGTTCACCTCAGAGATCACCAGGCTGCAGTTGCCCTCCTCGTCGTAATCGATCTGGAAGTGGCGCGTCTCTTTGATGGGCTGTTCGTCTTTGTACCACACCACCTCTGGATCAGGGTAGCCTGGGAACCACAAAATACAGACCATCTTTATACTTTGGTTGCGCCTCAAATGGCACCTTATTCCCTGTGCACTACTTTTGACCCAGGCCCATAGGACTCTGGTCAAAAGTAATGCACTATATAAATAAAATCAAAGTTAATTGGTCGCGTACACAGTTTAGCGGATGGTAGCCGGCTAGTGAGTGTCTAAGGTTCAGGACAGGGTACTGGGTGGAGGCCGGCTAGTGGTGACTGTTTAACAGTCTGATGGCCCGGAGATTGATGAACAGCTTCGGTCTCCCAGCCCCAGCTTCGATGCACCTATACAGTCTCCACCTTCTAGATCAGGGGTCCCCAAACTTTTTCCTGTGAGGGCCACATAACTTTTCCCTTCTCTGATGGGGGGCCGGTGTCAGTTTGTAACAGAAAAAGTGTGACGATCGTAGGGGAGCTTAAAACATTTATTGTTTTCCAGAAAGCCACACATAACCAAATAACCCTTTCCAGGTTCTTTACAGAAAAAAAGTCAGGAAACAAATAATAACACTATTAATGAAATAAATAATAACTAAATAACCCTCTCTGAGTTCTTCACAGAAAAAACAGGAAATAAATAACACTATTTATGAAATAAATAATAACTAAATAACTCTCTCTGGGTTCTTCATAGAAAAAAAAGCCATGGAACATTAACTTTCTGTTGTGCCATGCACAATCTTAACAGATAAAAGTTCAGCTCAGTTGTCAGAGCAGAATCTCTCTGACACATATGAGCAGTCTCTTAAAGTTCTTGTGTTCCTTCCTTATAATCCTTTTGTAGGTTCCAGTAGGCTTGTAGACACCGCTGTTTGCAGCTCTCTCTCATCAACTTCCCTGTGAAAACCACAAAGGAAGCAGGTTGAGAAACTGAACTAAGTGATACAGCACCTACACAGCACAATACATTTCACTACCAGTATGGTTGTAAAGATGGATTTTATCCCAGTAGATTTTATTATGATTATATTTGTTTATGCTCAGAATGACTCATTCAAGTCAGAAAAGTGAGCTTACCTATGTATGTTCATCAGTGTGAACTGTGGGCCTGCATCTGGCTGGTGAGAAGTTGAATATCAGGTTCCATTCTAGTTACAGCCAGTCTCAAGCACTGATGCAAATGTTCATCTGTCAATCTTGATCTCATCGGAGTTTTCAGCAGTTTCATGCGAGAAAAGGTTTTCTCGCAGATATACGTGCTGCCAAAAACTGTGGACATTTTCATTGCGTGTTTTTTGATGTTTGGATATGTGTCGTTTGGGAGGGCGGCATAGAAGTCAATGAGACTGTTGGGCTTGAATGCGTCTTTCAGAACATCACAGTTCTGTAACTCAGCCAACTCAAACTGATATGAAGGCTGGGCTTCATCAATGTCGGCAACAAAGGGGTTCTGAAAAAGACGGATTTCTTTTGCATGAACATGTAGTTCACTGAATCGCACACCGAACTCCGCCTTCAGCATTTCCAGTGCTTCCACGCACTTTTCAGCTGGGAACGGGACCGCTGGGTTCTCTGTCGACAGGTTTTGGGTAGCAGGAAGATGGACGAAGTTGCGCTTTTTCACTTGTTCCAAAAGCAGCGCTAATTTCACCTCAAATGCTTTTATGTGTGAATACATGTCGCAAATGAGTTTCCCCTCGCCTTGTAGCTGCAAGTTAAGGCTGTTAAGTATTTCTGTCACGTCTGTTAAAAATGCGAGGTGCCATTTCCATTCTGGGTCGATCAGCTCTGGGACCGTTTTGTCTTTTAAATGAAGAAATGCGTTAATTTCGGGTAGCAGCTCGTAAAAACGCCTCAAAACTCTGCCCCGGCTCAGCCATCGGACCTCTGTGTAGTACAGCACATCTCCGTGCGTAGACTCCAGTTCAGACAGGAATTCTTGGAACTGCCTGTGTTTAAGTCCCTTTGCTCTGATGAAGTTTATGCACGACACCACAACCTTCATTACAGAATCCCACGTCAACACTTTGCAGCACAGTGCTTGCTGGTGAATTAGGCAGTGGACTCGTAGCGGGGCGGTGAGACCCCTTTTTTCCAACTCCCGGTTCATGCGTCCTATTAGACCGCGAGTTTCGCCCACCATGCTAGGAGCCCCGTCAGTCGTGATGCTAGCTAGCTTTGACCAGTCCAGGTCCAACTTCTCCATGGTTTGGCACACTTTGTCAAAAATATCCTCTCCCGTTGTAGTCCCTTTGAGACTTTGGAGGGCTGCCAGCTCCTCGCATATCTCAAAGTTTGCGCTAACTCCACGAATAAAAATGAGCAATTGCGCTGTGTCTTGCACGTCCGTGCTCTCATCCAGTGCTAATGAAAAAAAGTCAAATTCTTTCGTCTTCTGCTGCAGCTGGGCATATACATTACTCCCGATTTCTTCAACGCGTCTGGTGATTGTACTCGCCGACAGACTTACGGCATTAAATGCATCTTTCTTCTCGGGACACACCTCCTCCGCGACAGCATCCATACATTTCTTAACAAACTCTCCATCAGTGAAAGGCTTACCGCTGCTTGCTATCAGTTTAGCAACCCGAAAGCTGGCCCGAACGGATGCCTGGTTCAGCTGAGCTTGGCGTACAAATGTATTCTGCTGAGATAGTAGTCCACTTTTTCTCTTACCTAACCTTTTCGCCATTATTCCGTTCTCTCTTTGACAGGGCCGGGCCTAGGATTTTTTTTCTGGAGGCCAAATAGGAAAAAAAATCCGATAGCGTCTCTGGTATTGTTCAGAGGGCCGGGCCAAATGTGCTGACGGGCCGTATCCGGCCCGCGGGCCGTAGTTTGGTGACCACTGTTCTAGATGGTAGCAGGGTGAACAGGCCGTTGCTCGGGTGGCTAAGGTCCTTGATGATCTTCTTGGCCTTCCCATGACACTGGGTACTGTAGATGTCCTGTAGGGCAGGTAGTGTGCCCCCCATGATGCGTTGGGCTGACTGCACTACCCTCTGCAAAGCCAAAGCCCTGCGGTTGCGGGCAGTGCAATTGCCATTTCAGAATTATTGTTACGTTTATTGATCTGATATTATGCATTTTACCACAATTTCCACAACTACCAAAAAAAGTCCAAAAAAGTAAACAAAACATTTTTTTTACATTGTTCACCTAATGAAAAGGGCCGAATTAAACATAACACTGAATTTAAAAAAAAGTTAATTTGTTCTGATTCAACAAACAATTGACCACATCACTAAAGCCCATTCATGCCTCCATGTTGGTAAGGTAATGGTTCTCTACGTTTTTCCCAATTTGAGCTTTAGTCATTTTGGTAATGAGAAGGTCAAGTGTCGTAAAGGGGGTCATTGAGAATAAGATCCTCATTCTGAAGGCATATAAGTGAAGATATTAACTAGCTCATTTAAGGACTACTCCACTAGATTATGCATCATACGTGAATAAAACGATAATTTTTTACAGCAACTTGAAAAAGTTGTTTTTACATAACAAATATTATAGTTTAATGTAAACTTCAACTAGTAGTATACAATCTTTATGATTTATGGACAAACTACAGCAACATCATTTGTGTTATATTATTAAGTTAGGTTTTTCTAAAGTAAAATTATATAAAATGACCCGATAATTTAATCCTGATGCATTTCAGTAATGAGAATTTGGGGTGAAATGTTTAATTACAGCAAAAATGTTAAATGTATTTAAAATAAGACACTGTGCCATAAACTAGGTATCTTACTCTTCAGCATGATAGTTGATTGTTGCAGATGAATCATGGTTTTCTAACTCAATTTGCTACTGCCATGGTTAACACTGGTTTCATTAGAATCACCCAGTGATGTGCACGCCGAAGAGCTTTAAGCTTTTGACCCTATCCACTGCAGCCTGTCGATGTGGATGGATGTGCTCTTTCTGCTGTCTTGTAGTCCACGATCAGCTCCTTCATTTTGTAGACATTGAGGGAAAGGTTATTTTCCTGCCACCACTCTACCAGGACTCTCACCTCCTCCCTACCACTTGTGTCATCAGCAAACTTGATGATCGCGTTGGAGAACAGGGAGTACAGGAGGGGTGCTGAGCACACACCCCTGTGTTGAGGATCAGCGTGGCGGAGGTGTTGTTGCCTACCTTCCCCACCTGGGGTTGGCCCGCCAGGAAGTCTAGGATCCAGGTGCACAGGGAGGGGTTCAGACCCAGGGCCCTGAGCTTAGTGAGGAGCTTAGAGGGCACTATGGTGTTGAAGGCTGAGCTGTAGTCAATGAACAGCATTCTTATTTTAATGAACAGCATATAGGGAATCAGGTGCCATTTTGGGATGCAGGCTGTGTCTCAATGGATATTCATAGGATGTAGGTAGTATTAGAAATATGAATGAGATCGAACAGATTACATCTATGGACAACCATAGAGCGCAAAGCTTACACTATGTGTGCTGCTTCATCAAACCATATTTGCCTTCCTTCTGTTTGGTTTATGTACTTCATGGCAGATGAATGGATACAGCACTTGTGATGCATGTATATGTAAATTAGGAGGCCATGATGTAAGTATATATAAATGAGGAGTTTGTGAGACATTACCCTCAATCTTGCAGTCAAATCTGGCTGCGCTCCCCTCCACCACCTCGACATCCTTTATCACAGAACTGAAGGTGGGCTTGACCTGGGTTTTCTCCTCAGACTCCAGGAACTGGTTGTCCTCTGCGAAATATGGGACAATATTTATATATTTTTTAATGACATTGTTTTAGCCTCAAATTGAACTTAAAAACCAAAAAGTGGTGCAGAGTGCTGCTTTGAGTTTGAATAGGAGCAGCAGCTCCCTTGGTAGCACCACCTAGTGTACCAACCAAAGTGCTCCAAAAAATGAGGGCAAATATTTGCAGAGTGGCATTAATAAAACAAACACCCCAAGCTGAGTGCCATCCCCTGCTCAGGGGTACAACAAAGGTTTAGAACATTCATGAAGTAAAAAAAAACAGTTGCCATGCCACCTTCGTTAGGGGAGCCCTTCTTGGCACTGACACCTGCCAACATCGCCATGGACGACAGTCTTCCGATGGCCCGCACTGCATGTCCCGTTTTCTGCCATGAAATCAATGATGTAATCGTTACATGTCTGAGCAGTACAAACAGTCCTTGGCCTAGGAGACAATTACATCCTCCAGAAATGTTTGTACTGCAATCTTATGAATAAATGGGCTCGTTTGTATCAATTTGACATTTCCTGTTAGTTGGCCATGAAGTACAGACTAGGGTTGCGTCCCAAATAGCACCCTATCCCCTTTATAGTGCACTACTTTTGACCAGAGCTGGTCTATAGTAGTGCCCTATATATGGTATAGGGTGCCATTTGGGACACACACACACACACACAGCCTATGATCCTAAAACTATGCTCGCTACTACAACCAAAGCTGGATAACTTGATCCCTGAGATTGTTGCCTTCAGGATTTGTAAATTCAGTTCAAAATACAGGTCAAAGGACAAAAAAAGGACATCTCTCAACTTTCACCATCTCTACTGTTTTGTGCTCTAGTTTTCCAACGTAATGCTTGCGGTTTGTACTTTTCAACCTCATGAAATTCTTATGGACCTCCATGGTGACTGTGTAGTACAATGAGAGGTCTATTCATGTGTGAGCACTCAGAGAATGAGTTGAACTGCAGGGACTTAGTGAGATTCACTTGTCATAACCAACTTGGAAGCTCATCGAGTAGGCTAGATGAGGCAAGTCAACAATTTCAGTAGCCTCTCCTATAGCAGAATTCTATATACCATTCTCAAACGCACATGTTTTGGATGATTCATATACTGTGCCGTACTACAGTGCTTGTCTTGTTGTTTCTCTTTTAAACTATTTTATGCTGCTGAGCAAAGCCCTACTGTTAAAGATGGATGGCCATATGTTGCACTGTAACATGAGAAATGGTGTGCATCCCAAATGACACCCTGTTACCTTTATAGTGGACTACTTTTGACCAGAGCCCTATGGGACACAGCCCATGATCTGTTCTGCTTGCACCTACCTGCCATTTCCTTCTCAATATGTATTTCTTCATCCTCTCCTTGGACAGCTTCTTGGCCTCCATTTTGCCAGTGTCTTGTTTTAGCCATGGGTGTTCATAGCACTGATCACATGTTAGTCTGGCCCTACGATCAGAGAACCACATGAGCGAGAGGCATGAAGACTTCATTCTCACTGTATTCCAACACATCAGATAGTGATTTGGACATAGTCCCAAATTGCACCCTATATAGTGCACTACTTTTGACCAAAGCCCTGGTCGAAAGTAGTCTACTACACAGGGAATATGGTGCCATTTGGGAAAGGAACCATTGAATCAAAGGCAACCGTTAGCATCAGGAACCCATTAGTTTAGTCTGAGGCTGTAAATAACGTATATCTTACACCTCAACAATCTAAACAGAGACATCTGGCAGGCTGATCAAAGCATTCTACAACATTTACAGTCAAATCATGTCAGAACTGGGGCTTCATCCCAAATGGCACCCTATTCCATATTTAGTGCAATACTTTCTATGGCAAAATATGGTAAAGTAGTGCGCTATGTAGGTAATAGGGTGCCATTTGGGATGCAACCTGTGTTTAATCATGTTGTGTCTCAGAGAGCAGCACCATGGTGCTTACTTCATATCTTTCTTCAGCAGCATGGTGATGAAGTCTTTGGCGTGGTCTGAGATCTCATCGAAGGCGTCGTCTTCAAAGTCCCAGGTGGCCGAGGTCACGTTGGACAGGGTCTCGTTGTCGTTGTCCCCCATGAATGGGGACAGGCCACTCACGCTGAGGAGAGAGAAAGGGGGAAAGCGATAAAAGAGAGGATAGTGATGGTTGACCTACAAAAGGTGCACAATAACGTCTACCAAAAAACATTTCTGCTTTGCATGGAAAGCGCACCACACCCTGCCGGCCCCCTAAACCCTGCTTACTTTTAAATGATCAAAGGCCAAATTGTAGTATAGATTTCAACAAAGCCGCTGGTCTCATTGGGCACACCCAGATGTTTTCCATACTGTAGGTGTATGTCAGTACATCAGTAAAGCTTTTTATTCTCCTTGTACACTTTGAGTCAGGACTCTGGAACAGGATGGATGAAAACTAGGTTGCATCCCAAATGGCACCCTATTCCCATAGGGCTTTGGCCAAAAGTAGTGCACTACATAGGAAGCCATTTGGGACGCATCCCTAGAATCTGTGAAGCAACAGAGGAGATACGGGAGAGCCTAATTTGTAACACTTATGTAAGCAGTGTGTAATAAATATTTGTGGACCGAGGAGATCTCACACAGGTTTGGGGCACTGGAGAGTATCGCTGTGCTCTTCCTCTATATCCATTTACAGGCATAGAGGATGGAAAGGCCCGTACACTGCCTGCCTGCCTGCCTGCTGCTGGAAAGTGTCTGTTGCAGAGAGCATGAAAGCCCAGAGAAACCTGATAAAGCTGGTTTGAGATTAGGGACACCTTGTAACAAATAGACAGTCACACTTTATTTGGATAGTCCCCTATAGATGATCTACAGATGCTCAAACTATCAACTATTACTGCAACAGCTTGCTGGGTTACAGTTAGGGTTAGCATAAGGGTTAAAGGACAATTTGGCCACTTTATAACCAGTTATGCTGTTCGTATACACCCACCGGCCAGTTTATTAGGTACACCACCCCGTTCCTACAGACAATGAGTCACGTGGCCGTGGCTTGCTATATAAAGCAGGTAAACAGGCATCCAGTTACTGTTAGTTGGTGCCAGGCGTGCATCTCAGAAACAGCCGCCCTCCTAGGCATTTCACGCACGACAGTGTCTAGGGCTTACCGAGAATGGTGCGACAAACAAAAAATATACAGTCAGCGGCAGTCCTGTGGGCGAAAACCTCTTGTTGATGAGAGGTTGAAGGAGAATGGCAAGAATCATGCAAGCTAACAGACAAATAACGGTGCAGTATACTGGCGGGTAGGAGTGTTGGGCCAGTAACCGAAAGGTTGCTGGATCGAATCCCCGAGCTGACAAGGTAAAAATCTGTCATTCTGCCCCTGAGCAAGGCAGTTAACACACTGTTCCCCGTGCGCAGAAGAAGTGAAGGTCGATTAAGGCAGCCCTCCGCACCTCTCTGATTCAGAGGGGTTGGGTTAAATGCGGAAGACACATTTCAGTTGAATGCATTCAGTTGTCCAACTTAATTCAGACTGTTCTGGAGGCAAATGGGGGTCCGACTCGGTACTAGACGGGTGTACCTAATAAACTGTCCGGTGAGTATATGCCCTATTGTTAGATTTGATACACATTGATGCTTTATCATTTTTGTTAGTCATACTGCACGATTCCTCGTTTTTTACATTTTGAATCTTCTGTATTGCACTCCCCTACAGCATACTACGATTCCCAGGGTGCATTTCTCCTCCCATGATGCAATGCTCCGCCTAGTTACCCTGCTGTTAGCTTAGCTGGCTGGTTATCAAGCCCAGACAAGGTTTAGTCTAAATATATTGCTTACGCCATAAGTTATGAGTGTATTTCACATTACTTTTGGGTTGTAAATATATTATAACGCTTGGATGAATGTCATGCTGAATATATGTTCATGTTATTGTCACCAATCAACTGCAATCCACTAACAAATAATAATAATTGATACTAACTAGCTACGCTAACCATAACTGCTACATCCAAAATAAGAGTATTTGCAACAATAACAGCAGCATCTTAGCGACTGTCTTAAAAAGTCCAAAGATGTAGACCTGTTAGAAGAACACAATGTTTACTATGAAATGTATAGGCACATCATTAAGGAATCCTAGTCTCAGCCTGTGTCTTTGGTGCAAACATTAGCAATGCTAGCTAGCTAGGTAGCTAAACCTGCTGCATTTGAAATAGTGTTTTCAATGATAACAGACAAATACAGCCTCAGCGACTGTCTAAGCAACCTTCCAACAACACTGGAGGCCAATTGGAATTAATAAAAAGTATGACGTTTACAAGTCATTCAATACGAAAGTATATAGGCTATTTGGAAAAGGCACAATGACGGCTGGTCGGTGATGGTGGGAGTGGTTTTGCCGAATGGAATCATTAAAGTTTGAGCCTTGAACAGAAAAATATTTGAGTAAGCCGACTATAAATATAATAATATGGGTTTTTGAGCCTCTATTTAAAATATTTACAAATGTTAGACAACCAGTGCAACATATCACAGGGAGTTCCAATGTGACCAGAAAACTATAGGCGGGTTATATAGATCACTAATAATTGACTGTCCAAAATGTATTGTAATAGTCATCTCAGGGATCCTACTGGAAAACGTCAGAAGCAATTTCCGGTTTTGCTCATCACTAAACAGTCAGACATGAAATCATAAAATTACACAAACTGTGTAGGACATCAGTAAATACTTCATAATAACAACCCAAATGTTGTCCTTTAAGGTTAGTGGATAGTTTGTTCAACTAATTGTCAGCAACATTTTAACTATTTACAAACCATCTATTTGGGACTATCCAAATAAAGTGTTACCATAGAAGCTTACCACAAACATTACAAATAAGAGTAGTTAGAAGGGTACTTATAATGGTAGTTCTAACTTGCTTGACACTCACAGGATGTAGCAGATGACTCCTATACTCCACATGTCTGTTGGGTAACTGATTGCTTCATAGTTGATCACTTCCGGGGCCACAAACTCAGGGGTTCCAAAAAGAACTTTCAATGTTCCAGAGTTTTCTAGGAGCACACACGGGAAGAGGGTTTCAAGAATGAACTGTTGGTGTTTAGCATTTTTAATTATTGAAAAGAAACGTCACGATTCGGAATAGAGTTGCAGAATTCCTATAACTTTACCCAAATTCCCAAGTTTTCCAGAAATCCCAGTTGGAATATTTCTGGAATCAGGATATCTGGGAATCCTCCAATCAGGATTTCTGGGAAAGTTACCAGAATTTTGCAACTAATTCTGAAATTGTCTTGTGCACATGAGGCCTGGTTACCTAGTCTGCGTGCGAGGCCGAAGTCGATGAGTTTGATGGTGCTCCCAGTCTTGTTGACACACATGATATTCTCAGGCTTCAGGTCCAGATGGACTATACCCTGCTTGTGGATGTAATGGACCCCGTCCACAATCTGCAGCATGTACTTAATAACCTCTCTCTCTGTCAGCTCAAAGTCTTCATCGATGATACGCTCAAACAGTTCCCCGCCAGAGATCCTGTAGAGGTAGAGAGAGAATGATGGTTGAGATCCTGCAATATAGATGGATATCACTGCCAAATATGAAAATCATTCACTGCATACCACATACTTGTCAAATCTAGAGTATCTCGGATATAGTTTTTCAGCTTACAAGGCATATCATCTAAAATTGGTACTAAGGACAATTGGTGTTTTTAATGTGAGTCAAGTGTTCTTGTGTCAGTCAACTGTTTGATAATGCTATGAAAAGAACAGGGGAAATGGTTCAGTCTAATGTGTTTACATGTCTAAAGTATTTGGCAAGTTAACTTTTTCTAAGCATCACCATATAAAAAAGCCAATGGTTCTGTCTGTCTGAAGTGTCTGTCTGGAAAAAAATATTCAGACGTAGATGTTCGAAATGGAAAACAAATAAAAGGTTATATCACTTTTCATATTCAGATAATTTTCAAGTGAAAATCCTCAAGCTCAAACTGCAAATGCACCTGTACTCATTAGTTTGTCGTCTGCTAAATAAAATGAAATTTCTAGTCAAACTAAATAGGCCTGTGTCCCAAATGGCACCTATTCTTTATATAGTGCACTACTTTTGACCAGGGCCCATAGGGTAACTGAATATCTACTCTTTGTAAGGTATAAGTTAAATTAAATATACTCACATTTCCAAAACCATGACAATGTCTGACTTGCCTTCGAAGGCATCAATGCACTGGACAAGCTTGGGATGATGGAGGGAGTTCATTATAGCAATCTCTTGTCTCACATTATCTTTCTCTTTCGCAGAGTAGGCTTTGATAAACTTTCCAGCCCAATGCTTTTTCGTTGCCTTCTCCAAAAGTTTAAATACTTGTCCGAATTTCCCCCTACAACATAGAAGACCAAAATGTTTTTGGGGAATCTGATACAGAGGATGGATGAGAGGCATGCACAGCAGACCTACTACAGATAAGTGTCAATGTAGATAAATGCTTTGCTTTAAATATATATATATATACAGTGAGGGAAAAAAGTATTTGATCTCCTGCTGATTTTGTACGTTTGCCCACTGACAAAGAAATGATCAGTCTATAATTTTAATGGTAGGTTTATTTGAATAGTGAGAGACAGAATAACAACAAAAAAATCCAGAAAAACACATGTCAAAAATGTTATAAATTGATTTGCATTTTAATGAGGTAAATACGTATTTGACCCCTCTGCAAAATATGACTTAGTACTTGGTGGCAAAACCCTGGCAATCACAGAGGTCAGACGTTTCTTGTAGTTGGCCACCAGGTTTGCACACATCTCAGGAGGGATTTTGTCCCACTCCTCTTTGCAGATCTTCAACAAGTCATTAAGGTTGAGGCTGACGTTTGGCAACTCGAACCTTCAGCTCCCTCCACAGATTTTCTATGGGATTAAGGTCTGGAGACTGGCTAGGTCACTCCAGGACCTTAATGTGCTTCTTCTTGAGCCACTCCTTTGTTGCCTTGGCCGTGTGTTTTGGGTCATTGTCATGCTGGAATACCCATCCACGACCCATTTTCAATGCCCTGGCTGAGGGAAGGAGGTTCTCACCCAAGATTTGACGGTACATGGCCCCGTCCATCGTCCCTTTGATGCGGTGAAGTTGTCCTGTCCCCTTAGCAGACAAACACCCCCAAAGCATAATGTTTCCACCTCCATGTTTGACGATGGGGCTGGTGTTCCTGGGGTCATAGGCAGCATTCCTCCTCCTCCAAACACAGCGAGTTGAGTTGATGCCAAAGAGCTCCATTTTGGTCTCATCTGACCACAACACTTTCACCCAGTTCTCCTCTGAATTATTCTGATGTTCATTGGCAAACTTCAGACGGGCATGTATATGTGCTTTCTTGAGCAGGGGGACCTTGCGGGCACTGCAGGATTTCAGTCCTTCACGGCGTAGTGTGTTACCAATTGTTTCCTTGGTGACTATGGTCCCAGCTGCCTTGAGATCATTGACAAGATCTTCCCGTGTAGTTCTAAGCTGATTCCTCACCGTTCTCATGATCATTGCAACTCCACAAGGTGAGATCTTGCATGGAGCCCCAGGCTGAGGGAGATTGACAGTTCTTTTGTGTTTCTTCCATTTGCCAATAATCGCACCAACTGTTGTCACCTTCTCACCAAGCTGCCTGGCGATGGTTTTGTATCCCATTCCAGCCTTGTGTAGGTCTACAATCTTGTCCCTGACATCCTTGGAGAGTTCTTTGGTCTTGGCCATGGTGGAGAGTTTGGAATCTGATTGATTGATTGCTTCTGTGGACAGGTGTCTTTTATTTAGGTAACAAGCTGAGATTAGGAGCACTCCCTTTAAGAGTGTGCTCCTAACCTCAGCTCGTTACCTGTATAAAAGACACCTGGGAGCCAGAAATCGTTCTGATTGAGAGGGGGTCAAATACTTATTTCCCTCATTAAAATGCAAATCAATTTATAACATTTTTGACATGTGTTTTTCTGGATTTTTTTGTTGTTATTCTGTCTCTCACTATTCAAATAAACCTACCATTAAAATTATAGACTGATCATTTCTTTGTCAGTGGGCAAACGTACAAAATCAACAGGGGATCAAATACTTTTTTCCCCTCACTGTGTATATATATATATATATATATATATATGCCATTTAGCAGAAGTTTTTATCCAAGGCGACGTACAGTAGTTGTGCATACTTTGTTCATATGGGGACCCCAAGCGGAAATCGAAACCACGACCCAAGCGTTACAAGTGCAATGCTCAACTGACTGAGCCAGAGGACCACAATTAAATCAATGCTTTGCTGACCAACATGTTTATAGGTGGGTACTCACGTTCCGAGCCGCTCTTCCACATCATACAGGTCTTTGACTTTAACATCTGTTCTAACAGTCACATCTCTGTAGTCTGGCTCTTTGTCTGAAAATAGGAACATTACACTTTTGAGTTATTACAGTGTATATGCTTAGCCAGTCATAACACATAAGTACATTATAAGGCATTATAAAGGACGTAATAAAGCATTTTACATGTGCTTCATAGGCGTTAGACATATTTTTTTTAAGGAAACAATTACATCTAAACATCGATTATTGGATTAGATTAGACATACCTTCATCATCCTCAACCTCCTCCTTTTCTGTTCGATAAAATAAAATAAAATGTGTCGTTAGTCATTAGTATGAATTAATAATCATTAGTATGAATCAATGTCCGACAATGTCAAAGAAAACAGCTTGTTAACAATGAGTGTGATGATAGTGTTACCAATGAGTGGTAGTACACCATAGACCCCACTAGGGGGAGCTCACCCTCTATATCCTCCTCTAGCATTGTGACAGGCTCAGACTCGGCACTGGGCTCGCCGATACCGTAGATATTGACAGCGCGCACCCTGAACTTGTACTGGCGTTGACCCAGCAGATTGTGAACATTATAGAAGGTGCTGTTGCAGGAGATCAGATCCTTCCACTCGTTGTCCACAGAATTCCATATCTCCAGGTTGTAGGACTGGACCGCGCTGCCCCCATCGTAGGTGGGGCCATACCATGACAGCGTGAGGGTGGAGCGGCGGATGTCTGAGGCTGCTGGAACACGTGCAGGGGGATCAGGTTTGTCTGGAATACACAGAGGTCACACAGAGCCACCCAAGAGGTCAACACTGAGTTCTGAACACTGGTCTGGGTCCGTGCCAAATGGGCTGCATTTCAGTCGCCATACTAGGCCTTTCAACAAGCCACACAAAACCATGTTTACATTGATGTGAAACATGCTCTAGGCTTAGTCCCAAATGTAACCCTATTCCCTATATAGTACATTACTTTTGACCAGAAACCTATGGGCCCTGGTCAAAAGTAGTGCACTATATAGAGAATAGGGTTCAATTTGGGACACAGCCCTAGAGTTTGCGGGTTGAGTTAGTCGACTCGTGAAGGTTTGGACAGATTGGACTACCAGTCCCAGGATCTGATAAATGTGCTGTGCAAGATTAACCACCTGAGACAGGAGGATCAAATGATAACAGTTCCAGGAAGGACATACAAACCTTCCATTCACCAATGTCCGTACTCAGTAGTCACCATGCACACAAAAGCACAGCCATGTTGGTAATGAAAAAATATATTGTCTGGCTATAGTGGCTACCTTCTGAACCACCAAGTCCATTCGCCAACAACAGTTTCACCATATCCAGTCATGGCAGGGTGTCCATTAAAGGCACAGTACAGGAGACCGTACTTAAGAGCAGATGATCAGTGAGCAGTGAGGTAGGGAGTCTCCACACAGGGAGTCTGGATCAGTTTTATGTACTGCCAATGTCAGACGATATGCCCCAGACTGTCTGCTAGCTACAGTACACTTTATTCTCCCTGCTTTGTTGAAGGGGTGGGTGACATGTTACACAAGCTGTTACAAGCATACCCCCACTTAATCCCCAGTGCTCCTTGTAAAATACCAAACGAATCCACCCCAAAGAGCACAGCTTGACACCAGCAGGCTTGCAATGGGGGACGAGTCAATGTCACTGCAAAAGGGGCCACAAATTATATGAAACAATTCAATTCTAAACCTCTATACACCATACATGCAGTCCAAGGTTGTAAAAGTAACTTCAGGATCATATACATTAACAAACATCTAAGTAGCGGGCTGCTTTTACCAGTGTCTAACAAGCGCTGTGTCTCTGTATGCTATTAACAGTTTTCCGGGCACATAAACAGCAGCTCAATAACTCTTCTCCCAGGCTGCTGCATATTCCCTGAGTCAGGCTGGATACACTCCACTCTGACAGAAGTGGCAAAGGGGCTCATTAAAGCAACAGCTGAAGAGAAAGCACAGCCTTAAAAGGCCATTGGAGATCCCTGCAGTGGCTTGTTAGTGTTAGGATCTAGAGAGCTCGAGCTGGCCGGCCTGCGTACCTTCCCTTCCCCAACAACATTCCCCAAAGCTACAGGACTGCCATTTTTACGAGAGACAAACATTACAGGTAGCAGAGCAATTTAAATCATGCATTATAGTAAATATAATTTTACACAGGGAAAGACTCTTAGTTGTCTTGTGAATCTCAATGATGGAGCTAAAAATGGCGTCACTGCCTAGCGCCTACAGGCCAAATTCAATACGGCCTGATTTGGATAAATGGAACATACCAACAACGGTGAGGTTGAGAGCAGCCTGTCTCACGCCGTAGTTGTTTCGCAGCTCGACGGTGTAGCAGCCACAGTGCTCCTGCTGGCTGTCGGCGATGGTCAGTTTACTGTTGGACTCAGTGGTTTCAATGGTTAAATCACCTTTGACCTCTTGGATCTGCAGACAAAACCACCATAAGGTCAGTCATTACACGGAGAAGGAAATGTTTGATAAAACAGTATTCAAGGAGCTACATCCTTGAGTTAGTATAGTGTTATTAAAAATATATATATAAATAATTAGAAAGTGGACATGGTAGATAACTTCAGATGATGGTTAGAGTTGATCATAGACGGGCAGAGCAATAGAGTCAATGCTAAAAAAAATAAAGGGAACACTAAAATAACACATCCTAGATCTGAATGAATGAAATAATCTTATTAAATACTTTTTCCTTTACATAGTTGAATGTGCTGACAACAACATCACACAAAAATTATCAATGGAAATCAAATTTATCAACCCATGGAGGTCTGGATTTGGAGTCACCCTCAAAATTAAAGTGGAAAACCACACTACAGGCTGATCCAACTTTGATGTAATGTCCTTAAAACAAGTCAAAATGAGGCTCAGTAGTGTGGGTGGCCTCCACGTGCCTGTATGACCTCCCTACAACGCCTGGGCATGCTCCTGATGAGGTGGCGGATGGTCTCCTGAGGGATCTCCTCCCAGACCTGGACTAAAGCATCCGCCAACTCCTGGACAGTCTGTGGTGCAACGTGGCATTGGTGGATGGAGCGAGACATGATGTCCCAGATGTTCTCAATTGGATTCAGGTCTGGGGAACGGGCGGGCCAGTCCATAGCATCAATGCCTTCCTCTTGCAGGAACTGCTGACACACTCCAGCCACATGAGGTCTAGCATTGTCTTGCATTAGGAGGAACCCAGGGCCAACCGCACCAGCATTTGGTCTCACAAGGGGTCTGAGGATCTCATCTTGGTACCTAATGGCAGTCAGGCTACCTCTGGCGAGCACATGGAGGGCTGTGCGGCCCCCCAAAGAAATGCCACCCCACACCATGACTGACCCACCGCCAAACCGGTCATGCTGGAGGATGTTGCAGGCAGCAGAACGTTCTCCACGGCGTCTCCAGACTGTCACGTCTGTCACATGTGCTCAGTGTGAACCTGCTTTCATCTGTGAAGAGCACAGGGCGCCAGTGGCGAATTTGCCAATCTTGGTGTTCTCTGGCAAATGCCAAACGTCCTGCACGGTGTTGGGCTGTAAGCACAACCCCCACTTGTGGACGTCAGGCCCTCATACCACCCTCATGGAGTCTGTTTCTGACCGTTTGAGCAGACACATGCACATTTGTGGCCTGCTGGAGGTCATTTTGCAGGGCTCTGGCAGTGCTCCTCCTGCTCCTCCTTGCACAAAGGCGGAGGTAGCGGTCCTGCTGCTGGGTTGTTGCCCTCCTACGGCCTCCTCCACGTCTCCTGATGTACTGGCCTGTCTCCTGGTAGCTCCTCCATGCTCTGGACACTACGCTGACAAACACAGCAAACCTTCTTGCCACAGCTCGCATTGATGTGCCATCCTGGATGAGCTGCACTACCTGAGCCACTTGTGTGGGTTGTAGACTCCGTCTCATGCTACCACTAGAGTGAAAGCACCGCCAGCATTCAAAAGTGACCAAAACATCAGCCAGGAAGCATAGGAACTGAGAAGTGGTCTGTGGTCACCACCTGCAAAACCAGTCCTTTATTGGGGGTGTCTTGCTAATTGCCTATAATTTCCACCTGTTGTCTATTCCATTTGCACAACAGCATGTGAAATGTATTGTCAATCAGTGTTGCTTCCTAAGTGGACAGTTTGATTTCACAGACGTGTGATTGACTTGGAGTTACATTGTGTTGTTTAAGTGTTCCCTTTATTTTTTTGAGCAGTGTATATTCAATACATAAAGGGGTGGACTGGTACAGACTGGTCCTTACTGGTTTGCGGAACTTGAGCCAGGTGCAGTTGATTGGCGGAGCGCCTCCAAACTTACAGAGAATTTCCACCTTCTCTCCTGCCAGGATCTTCATGTCGTCCGGGAACTGAACGATCTGAGGAGGTATAGCTGGATGACAGATGCACACACACACACACACACACACACACACACACACACACACACACACACACACACACACACACACACACACACTTCAGCCAGGAACATCTCCATCCATTATCAGAACAAACCTCCAGGTAAAACTAGCATTAGGTACTCATTTGGCTACCCCCGCCCACTGTTTGTCCATTCATCTGGGGGCTGAGATGGGTTGGCAGGCCCCTGACTTTCCGCCTTTGCCTCCACATCATTGTGTTGCTAACGCCTTAAAGCTCCTCTGCAAGCTTAACGCACAACTGCAACAGCTGCTGGGATTGGGCCTCACGCTCTCCTGGCGCGTGATCTTAGAGGCCAGGTTTGATCTTACAGCATGGTTGGGGGGGGGGGGGGGGGGGGGGGGGGGGGGGGGGGGGGGGGGGGGGGGGGGGGAGAATCTCCGATTGCCATTACATGCACACCCAGACCTCTGCCAGAGCAGGGATAAGCTCTCAGAGAGCAGCTGGCTACAGCCAGTGTTTGGCACACGATCTAGGCCCTCTAGCCTACCTATTGCTGAATGAGAGAGCTGGGCTGGAGCACAGGCTAGGGGATCATCTATACTGCTTGTTGACATTTGGGTTGGTCTCTCTTTATTAGGCCAGAGAGTTTTAGTACGGTATCAAGCGCCCCAGAGTAGAAGAGCTGATTTAGGATCAGTTTTGCCTTTTTGGACAGGTGGAGCTGATCCTAGCTCAGCACTCCTACTCTGAGACACTTGATACATAGGTCCCCTGAGATACATTTTTGTATTGCATGTATGAGGAAGTCTTTCTTACCCTGTTTGGGAGGCGTCTTTGTATTTGGTTTCTTTATCCTTGCCTCACCTGGAAAAGAGACTATAAATTATTACAATTGGGAAGGCCGCAGTTACGTCAATGCAGTCGATAATGGATCAAATGAGATTTGATACAAATTATTCCCATTTGTGAATCTTCAACGCAATTATTCAAGTAAAATGAACATAGTGATCTGAACACAGACAGAATTTTAAAATGGTGAGTGTAGGATTCGCATAAATTAATGTCATTGCACTGGATTATTACATTGTGAGCTACAACAGCAGCAAGCATTAGTAAAGCAAAGTGTAAGTTCCTGTTCTTTTCCCCACATAATCACTCAAATTGTTCCTGTACCGATATATCTGGAATCCAGTTGTTACTATTGACAAGACTTATTGATCAAAACATAGATGAAGATTGAATTTGTACAACTCATTTACCACAAGTTTGAAACACCAGTCCAGTTTGTAAGCTAGCCTCTGACGGAGTACATACTGTGGGAAATAAGACATTTGTAGATTCAGAATAATAATAAATAATAATAATAATATGCCATTTAGCAGACGCTTTTATCCAAAGCAACTTACAGTCATGCGTGCATACATTTTTGTGTATGGGTGGTCCCGGGGATCGAACCCACTACCTTGGCGTTACAAGCGCCGTGCTCTACCAGTTGAGCTACAGAGGACCACAAGAATCCTTGTTCAATGCATTTGCCTTTATTCATGTCATTATATGAAGACTTAGGCTTATAGTCTGTCATAACAAGTGTATTTTAAGGCATTATGAACTTCATAGAAAATGTTACTAGTTCTTCCCAGGACAGTATATGGGAACGTAGAATAAACTGTCTGATAAGTGAACTTGGGGGAGGGAGCTATTCTCTTGTGGATGTCCTGGGAGAAAGGGCTGCCTCTGTGCTTATGTCCTTTGGTATTTGCCTTTTTTGGTAATACACAAAAATAGTACCCAAATATTCAGGAAATAGCTCGACAATTTATTTTACATTTGATTGCCGTCAAGAATTAATGTCACCTTAAAAATGAACTAATGCAGATAGTGAGGAGCAACACAGAGTATTAACCTTAATGATTACAGTTTAAGCTCGGAGCTCGCAAAGTCTTAATTTCCCTATTTTCTGCATGAGAAGTTGATAAAGTTTAATTGCACAGAAAACATATACCATTGCTGTTTCCATGATGTTCCATTTGCGCAAACTGTACAAAACATATTTTTGCAGTGTCAAATACAGAAAATGACAAAGAAAGAGAACAGGCTTTTAAACACACTAAAATGGTTATGAGCACACCGAATGGCTGTGTAAGGTTTTAGTGCGGGGAAATAGCGTACTCTTTAAAGCTTGTGTTCATGAAGTTTCCAAAACAAGTAGAGAACTTAAAAGGGAAAATCCAGTCTTTTGGTATTTTTTTCAAAACGCTTTGCATGTTAGCAGTCAAGTGTTCAAGATATTGGACTTTCAAGAAGCAATGTGTCACCGACCACATGATGCAAATGCATTTTGCATCATGATAATGTGATGCGGCTGGTGACACTTTGTATCTTGAAAGTGCAATATCTTGAAGACTTGACTGCTGACATGCAAAATATTTTGGGACCGTACCAACAGTGGACTGATAAAAAAAATTTTTTTTTAAAGGTAGATTTTCCCTTTAAGAACAACAAATGCTTAATTGGTCCGGTAGTAAAGTTTTCACATGCCATGTTCAGTTTTGAATTATAAATAAACTACTGCACCCAGCATTTGAGCTGCAGTTAAAAGACAGTGGTGTGTATTCATGGATACCAAGGGAAGCCAGGCTTCCCCCAGAAATGGGCCCCAAAAAATAAGTCTGTTTCATAATTTTCCTTCAATTTGCAAGAGGCTGAATGTATCTCACTGGAGAAAGCATCAGAGTGAGCGAAACAGTCCCACTCTGACTCTGTCTGGTCAAAAAGAGTATGACATTGTTGCCATCCGTAGCATTGAATGCAAGGGAACCCAGCGAGCATTTGGCCTCCCTTGATTAAAAAAGTATAACAGAGCCAATCAGAATTTAGCTAAATTGAGTGAGCTCAACTGTGAATGGTCCTGACGCACCAAGAAAAAAGTGTCAAGGGAAGCCAGTTTGAATTTGGCTTCACTCCAATCACATCACATCGAAAGCAAAACGTCATTGACAGAAATAAAACATGAATTCTTGCATCTCGTTGTGGTCCTACGGTGGCTAGCTAGCTAGCTAAAATTGCCCTTTTCCTAAATTAGCCATGGATGGAGACAGGGATTTGAACTTGTAGTTTTACTTAATTCTCCGTACTGGCCAATGATTATAATAACTGCGATTCTGATCCAACCATAAATTCATACATTGTGCCCCTTGCCTGAGAGGATGGAAGTTCAATATGTAGCTAGATATAGTTGGCTAATGTTAACTAGCTATCCTGGCGCATCATTGCCCTTGAAAGGAAGTTAGGCTAGCGAGCAAGCATTTTATTAAGGTAGCCTAGGACAACAAAAAATAAGTGTGTACTGTATGACAGAGTCATAGATCGTTTAGGCAACATGAAAGAGGATGGCATTGGCATTTCTCTACAAGTAGGTTGAGTCAACATGTCTATTGTACTTGCACGAACACACAGAGAAATCAGAACCATGGACAGCCACATCATATTTAGCTTATGTTGAATGAACTAAATTGTTTTAGGTATCACTGTATTAGACTAAGCCTAGGTGATTTGATGATGTTGAAGTTGAAATGGTGCTGGAATAGTGGCGGCAGCTCCTGTTTTCTTTGCAACTTGCAGTAACTCTCCGTGGTTCTAAATCAACAGTTGTTTAGTAGTCCGAAAATGTCGGAAACATTAACTGGCTTGACCACACTGTAGGTCATGTAACTGTTTGTTACATGCAATATGCTTTGTGGACAGAGGTTGCTCTCCAGTTTTGTGATTAAACAAAAAATGTGTGGTTGAATTTATTCTGCCAACGTGTCTTCTTATTGTCTTGGCCTTATATATCTCTATCTCACTGTCGCAAGGCATATGAACTAACAGGTTATAGAGCAAACAACGCAATTATCACAACACAGGTTGTAATATGGCATTTTTTTCCCCTGGCTTGGCTTCCGCAGTGATTTTACCCACGCACCGCTACTGGTTAAAGGCAGTGTAGCACTTATTTCTCAATGCCAGAAACGCATATAATAGTAACTTCGAGCACCCAAAGAAAACATTCCCAAATTATAAACTCTTAAATCAATTGTTATAATATTATAATATTGAAGTTTGGTATGAAGGTCTCCAAATCAGTTCGGTCTTCGGAAAGAAATCCCACAACGCCCCGTGGTCAGAGTCACAAAATGAATGAAAAATATTTAAAAAAGTGGGATAAATGTGAGAGTAACCAGTAACCTTGCTCGCACACACTTTTTCAGTTCTGCCCACAAATGTTGTCCTTAAGCCATTTTGCTACAACTTTGGTAGTATGCTTGGGGTCATTGTCCATTTGGAAGACCCATTTGCGACCAAGCTTTTAACTTCCTGACTAATGTCTTGAAATGTTGCTTCAATATATGCACATAACTTTCCTTCCTCATGATTGCCATCTATTTTGTGAAGTGCACCAGTCCCTCCTGCAGCAAAGCACCCCTACAGCATGATGCTGCCACCCCCGTGCTTCACGGTTGGGATGGTGTTCTTCGGCTTGCAAGCTTGCCCATTTTTCCTCCAAACATAACAATGGTCATTATGGCCAAACAGTTCTATTTTTGTTTAATCAGACCAGAGGACATTTCTCCAAAAAGTACGATCTTTGTTCCCATGTGCAGTTGCAAACCGTAGTCTAAAAAATATTTATGGCGGTTTTGGAGCAGTGGCTTCTTCCTGGCTGAGCGGCCTTTCAGGTTATGTCGATATAGGACTCGTTTTACTGTGGATATAGATACTTTTGTACCTGTTTCCTCCAGCATCTTCACAAGGTCCTTTGCTGTTGTTCTGGGATTGATTTGCACATTTCGCACCAAAGTACGTTCATCTCTAGGAGAAAGAACGCGTCTCCTTCCTGAGCGGTATGACGGCGGCGTGGTCCCATGGTGTTTATACTTGCGTACTATTGTTTGTACAGATGAACGTGGTACCTTCAGGCATTTGGAAATTGCTCCCAAGGATGAACCAGACTTGTGGTGGTCTACA